CATCGTCGTGGAAGGAGCAGTTCAAGGATGCACTAACTGTTGTGCCAGGTGAGCTACATCTATCTGTATATACGTATCTGTCCATCTGTATAGAACGATTTCTAAATCTTAACCTTCATATATCTAGATCTGTCTCTTGATCTGTGTACTCATTCGTATATCTTTTTCTCTCCCAGCTGACGAGCATGAGTTCGACGCCGAGGAGGAAGTGGGAGAGGAGGTACCAAAATGCATGGATTATATCAGCCATTTCATTTGCCTCTTCTGGAAGGTGCTGTTTGCATTTGTGCCGCCCACAGGTATCAGCGACACCGGCCTTACACCGATCGATTGACTTGTAAATCATTTTCCTTTCACAGATATCTGCGGCGGCTATGTCACCTTTGTCATTTCTATATTTGTCATTGGCGTTCTGACCGCGGTTATCGGAGATGCGGCTACCTACTTCGGCTGTGTGCTCAACATCAAGGACTCGGTGACAGCCATTTGCTTTGTGGCCCTGGGCACCAGTATACCAGGTAAAATGGGATATGCACTGGTATGCAATCGAAGGCAGCTTATCCTGCTGTTAAAGTAATTTTAAAGTGAAGCCATGCTAATAAAGGCGTGTTGAGTCAAAAAATCTATGTTAGAAGTATAGAGATAGACAGCTACGTTCTCTCGATAATGATAATGCGGTACGATAAGGTACAAAATCTTAGATTCAAGCTATTCTCAGTTGCAATTTAATAGGAATACAAACTAGTTTATCCTCAAGCTAAGCACTGCTCTGCAAATCAATTATTTAACTTAGTATTTCTTGGCCTGCAGATACATTTGCCAGCATCATCGCGGCCAAACAGGATCAGACCGCTGACAATTGCATTGGCAATGTGACGGGCAGCAATGCAGTCAACGTATTCCTGGGCATTGGCCTGGCGTGGTCCATCGCCTCGATCTATCATGCGGTCAATGGCTCAACGTTTAATGTGGAGCCCGGAACGTAAGTGGCAACGGCAAATGATCGCTACCTATAACAGTTGTCCTAATACTAGATAACATTTCAGCATTGGCTTTGCTGTGACGCTCTTCTGCGGCGAGGCTGTAATTGCCATTGGAGTTATGATGATCCGACGATCAACGAAGTCGATACGCGCCGAATTGGGTGGGCCCACGATTAGCAAATGGATGAATGCGTCGATATTATTGCTACTCTGGGTTATATATCTGATCGTGAGCACGCTGGAGGCATATGATATCATCATGGTTTGAGCAGATCATGCTGTGAAACGCGTAAGCAAGCCCAAACAGCTGTAATGAAGCTGTTGAGAGAGAGAATATATATTTATACATATATATATATATATGTTCGAGATGAATAAACAGAAATTTTTATCTATATGATTCAAGTCGGATATGTATAAAGATAATATTGTACGTTTTCACTGCTATATATAAACATTGAGAATTGTGTAAAATTTATGTTAATATTAAAAATTGTAATGTTTAATTAGTTTCTAGGTGTGGCTTATTTTAAACAAATATATATCGGTATATATATATTGTTTCATTTTAAGTAATGTAAATACAAGAAAGGCTGCCCCGGGCTCAGCAAACAAGCAACGTGATCATTCAGTTACATATATATATGAACAATATTTATACATAAAAGCAGCATTCAATTTAAAGATAAACGATACAAGATAAAACATAAATGGTAAATCGTAAATGATAACTGATATATGATATTTGATATTTGATATATGATATATGATTTATGATATATATGTATTAGCTTGTCTCTATGTTTGAAAAGTTCTTAATGCGATTCAAGTAATTATTACAACTATTACTATTATTATTATTATTATTATTATTATAATTATCATTGTTGTTGTTTGTTATAGCTGTACTTAATATATATATATACATAAATAATTCACTGTCTCTCCATTAATTGTCTCTCTGTCTCTCCATTAATTGTCACAATCAGCCATTGTTAATTTAATACATGTGTAAGCCCTAGAAAATGTATTCTTTAAAATATTACAAAAATGAACCATAATAAATACATGCATATATTTAATCAACAACTATTTCTAGTCAACGCACTTTTAAACAAATACAACTAGAAGCTTCTGTAGTCTTAACTAAAATTTCAACTCAACTCAACTGAAATCAAAAAAACAAAACAATTCAAACAAAACTCCGACCAATTGAAAATGCGGCACTTTTTAGTACGACCATCAGTGTTTGAGTACACTGCACTACATAAATCTACTTACTTGGAAAGACTTTCATTTCACTTTGTCATCTATGAAACGATAAACGATTAACGATTAACGATTACGATATTAAGGCATAACACCAAAATGTTTGTTAAATGAAATTGTATTTTTTGTATAATGTTATTCTATTTTTTTAAAACATTTTGAATGGTTACCAATATATATACATGTATGTATATAAATATATACATACATATATTGAAAACTAAAATAACTTGATGGGAAAACTGCGCCAAATCTAGATATAGAACTATACCCAAACAAATCAAATAAAAAAAATTAATAATAAAAGGAGAATGAAAAATATACGATTAATATCGAATATACATAAGTTATGCATATAGCCGAGAAATGTATTTAATGCAATTACATCTATCACTGCAAATGTCTTTTGCTCTTAAGTTATATGAAAATTAAAATTGAATTTTTCAATTACTTCAAATTTGTTTCGATTTCATTTTATTTTATTTTTTTTAATAAATTTTTTATTAATTTTTGGAAAGCTAAAATTGATAGATCAAGGGAATGTCCGACTGCATAATACTCGTTCACATTTTCCAAACAACTAAATTGAAAAATTACTGATGTTTGTTATTCTAGCTTCTAAATTTTTGTCGTAAGGTTTAAAAAAAAAATCTCTTAATCTAAAATATTTTTGAGGGGATAATATATACGATATCTAAAAGTTTCTTGAGAGGATAATATATACGAGTATATATTGCCACCTCCAAGTCTCCAGCTTCACCCGTACATGACGTGAATATAAACTAATCTAATCCTATCACATCGTGAACGAGTATAAGAAACCCAAACTGGAAGTTAACAGGCGTTGCGTATAGCTCGCAAACCGAGTCAGGTCAGATTCGAATAGAATGTAGAACTATCGCATAGAACAGTCCAAGAAAACAGAAATATAATAATGTTAGCTAAAAAGCAAAATCTTATCATAAGACACATAGTATATAAATCTGATTAACTGATTATCTTCAAGGCAAAGGCAAATAAAACGAGTAAAGTGCTTCCGATATAGAATTTAGGTATGTACTTCAATAGATTTACCAAAAAGAAGAAGAAGCAGAAGAAGTAAAAAAAGAATATAAGATAACTTTTAACAGTTTTGTTATATATACATACATTGTATAATTTGAAGCATATTATGCTTATCTTTTTTTGGAAAACCTTTTTTTTTTTTTTTTGTTTATATTCTAAAATCCAATTATATATTTCTCATATTATATATTCTACATACAAATGGTTTGGTGTTTTTATAATGTATTTTGTATTCAACCTTTTCATTGCATTTTTGATAAAGTATATTATTCTAGTCCCTATAAATATACCTACTATAGAAAAACTTAATATAGAAAGACATTCAGAAAGCGAGCAAAAAAAAAAAATTTTACTTCAGATATTTTCTCAGTATCTTAGCTTAAGTAAATCAGAAAATATACCAAATACAAAAAATACTTTGCTACTATAAATAAAATACTAACTTCTCAAAGTATTGTAGCATTGAGTGGGTCAACAATTTTCGATTCGATCTACATGTTATACTTTATATACAATATATATATAATCTCTATGAAAATAATCTCCCCACAAAATATACGAAAACTTTAGCCAAATATGTGAAAGTCCCCTCCCAAAAGAAAACTAACCATAAATGTATTTATGCACGATATACGAACTTGATGTTTAACCAGATATACTTAAATAGGTCTAGTACTTAGGGAATTCCATGGCATTATTCAAAGAGTCTAGAGTCGAGCATATGACTTAGGTATATGGTATATGTATTTGCAAGCATGTTAACCCAACCAGAAAAAGAAAACAAACAAACGAGCAAAATACAAAAATCGAAAATAAAACAAAAATTTGTCTTAAACTGAAGTTTTTAAGTGGAACATTGTGTGCTTTATCTGGGGCCAGGGGCTTATCTGCGGGGCCTGTCAGTGCGAAACTGGGCGACAATTGCCAGACGATTGCTATTATGCAAGATCTAGAATAAAAGAAGCCAAGAAACCAACAATCGCGCGAGACAACGATAAGAGAATTCTGTGCGAATCTCTGCTCGAGGCGGAAGACGCGCGCAGATGACTTGAAAAATGACAGACAACAACAATAGCTACAGCTACAACAACAGCAACAATAAGTTGGCGATAAAGTTGTTTACAGGAATCTGAAAAAAAAAAAACTCAAAAAGAGACAATAAAACAATAAAAACAACAAAAACCAGGAAAAGTCGAGATTCGTCGCGACGTTGATGAAATACCCTAGCTTAAAGAAAACTCTAAATATACATATACAGATATATATTTTGCCTTTTGTATAAAGAGTCATCACTCTTTAAATGAACCTCTTTATAATGCCTGTGCATCAACGTCTAGTTGGTATAAGGTATTTAGCCAGTATTTAAAATTTCCTGAGTTTTTACATCAGCTACATCATTCAAATTCAGACTAGACTGTAATTTATATGCAGTCTTTACGTGTTACATGCTGGCTATCGGAATCGAGATACCCCACGCCAAAGGCTGGCAGACAACGGCAGCAACGACGACGCTAATTTAAGTTGCAAACAAAGCCAGCGCCAGGCCAGATGCCAGTTTCATTTGTGCGCTAACGGAGTCGCTTGTCGCCCCAGGTGACAGCCACGACCAAACGGACGCAGACAAAGGACAACCTCAGCCTCAGCAACAGCAGCAGCAGCAGCCGCCGCAGTCACAGCCACAGCATGTCCTGCACCGAGAGAACTGCGCTGCTGGCAGTACAGCAACAACAACAACACCAGCAGCAGCAGCAGAAGCAACAGCAGGAGCCGCACATCATTCTGGTGCCCAACAAGGAGGCAAAGGATTATGAGCCCGTTTTTACGATTGCTGAGTAAACACACGCTTTACTGTCGCATTGCATTAAATAATTAATAAACACACACACACACACACCCACTCACACACACACTTTATATTTGGACAGCTTTTCGTACGGCTTGTCGCTGGAGGAGCTGCTGCCCTTCGGCTGGGATCCTTGGTGGCAGAAGGCGCGTCGTCTGTGCTCCGTCTGCCTCTGGCTTGTATTTGTCCTGACTCTGTTCGCTGCCCTGGCTCTGGCCTACAACCACGACACGGCCACCATCTGTCCGGCTGTTCGCCTGCCGGCCGCAGCCCCCACTCCGGCGCCACCCGCAACACTCGCCCTGGCCACCAATGGCACGCTGCTGCTGCCGGGCTAATGCGAACTGGCACTCGGTAAGTGGAGCGCTTGTACTCTCCTCTGTGGACTATTGGCTGCTGCAATGGCATGCCTAGGATTACATCAGCCTGTGCACTTGAGAACAGCCCAGCTGAGCTGAGATGAGCGATAAGGCGAGGCCAATCAGTTGACTTTAGCTCTTCAATTATTTAGCAATTAACAATTTGTTATTTATTTATATTCATTAAATAGGAAATATCAAAGATATTTTTAGACTTTTCATTGCACCCTGAAACCTTAGATAGCATTTTATTCGTGGATTTCTTTAACCAAGAAATCGTAACTAATTTCACTCATTTGTTTTTCCAATTGGAATATGTCATATGCAATTCCAATAAGGCGAGTGAATATCTTATATGGAGTTGTATGAGCAAAGTTTCAGTTGAAGACTAATTGACTTTTTAATTGATTTCGAGTCGAAATGTCAATTTTAGTAAGATCTATAAATGTAAGAGTAATCTATGCATTAAATAGTTCTCTTTCACTACTCCAGTTCTATTATCTAATCTAGCTTTTCCGTCAGTCTTCAATTTTAACCAAGTTTTATTCATATATAGATATATAATTAATATTTATTCATCAATTGGCTACAGTTACTTGAGTTGCATTTGTATTGCTATTCACCCCAAAGACTCTCACTAGGGAGGTGGCTTGACTGAAGCTCGCTCTGTGCAGCTGCGGCGCTTCGTTCGCCTCCGACCAAGGCCGAAAGTCAAAGTCGTAGCCCTCCAGGTCCACACAGTTCACGTAGGGATTCCCATCCAAGCGTTGACGTTCCATGAGATGCTGACGCACGCGTCGAATGTCATCGGAGTTGCGGCAGATGATGGCTGCCAGGCTGGTCTTGTAGATTTCGGCCAGTTGAGCTGCAGGCAGAATCAATTGTAGAGTCACACACATACATAGATATCTCAGACTAGTCTTACGCTTGGTCAGCCTCTGGGGTCCCATTTTGCGCTCATACCAATGGGAGTCGCCGAGCTTGATACGCATGAACTGATCGGAGACCAGGCAGCTGAGCAGCGGCCCAAAGATGGCGCCATCTAGCGGCGGCTCGCTAAGCGCGCCCGTGTAGAGATCCACATCTTGGGGGGAACTGAGGGCAAATGGGAAATGAAACTCAAGTCTTAGTTAGCCAAGTGCTACCCACTCGTAGATCTGCCTGATGGAGGCCAAAGTTGCGTTGTCCACGGCCTGCGCCATCAGCTCCCACGTGTCCACTGGCGGCAGTCCGCAATGCCTTCGGAGGACTGGGTAGGCGGGTATGCCATGATCGCGGCCACGCTGTATGTTCAGCGACACCAAGTCGAGGCCGCAAACGGGCACGCGGTCCTCGGCTGTGCCCTCGAAGAGCTTCTGGGTGATCTCCAGCGAGAAGAAGCGGTCGACGCGCAGCACGGGCGTATTGGCGGCAGCCTGGAGGGCGTGGTCGATGCCGTGCGGCGTCCACAGCGAGAACGGGTTGAAGAGCATCTTGTGCAGCTCCATGGCCTCGGGCGTGCTGTTGTCCCGCGACACGTTGAACAGCCCCGGCAGCAGCGTGTGGGCGAAGCGAAAGGCAGCGGCCGCAAAGCAATTGGCAATGCTGGGATCCACCTGGGGATCGTAGGTGTCCGGCGCATCGAGCTGCTCGCGGGCGGGCAGCAGACCCTTGGCCTGGCTCAGGTTGCGGCCCAGCAGCACGGGCAGAAACTCGTTGTAGGTGATGTGCGCGAGCTGGGCGGCGAGGATCTTGCGCGACTCCTGGAAGAGGCGCTCGTCGTCCCAGTCGGGATTCACTTGATGCAGGCCCCGCGCCAGGTAGTTGTGGTGCCTGGCCCACAGCAGGTGCATCGAGGTGAGCAGCAGGTTCTCGTTGGCCCGATCATCGCCCGACTCGAAGCAGTACTTGCCCTGGCGCGTCATCAGCATCCGATTGCAGCCGTCCTCCGGATTGGAGGAGATGGGCAGCAGCTCGCGGCCGTCGTCGGTGAGGAACATGCGGAGGGTGCCATTGATGTAGCTGCGCAGGCTCCGCTGCCGCTGCTCCAGGTTCCCATACACCACAGAGCCGTCAATGAAGGCCGTGGCCTGGTTGAACTGCTGGCGCGGTCCGAATCTGCCCGTCGGAGCTGGCGCCGAGCGGACGAAGTTCATGCAGGTCAGGTTGTACTGCCTGTAGTAGGGGTCCTCGGCGAGGATGTGCACCGGGAAGCACTCCGGGTGCTGCTCAAGAGTGCCGCGCGCACAGCAATCAATCGACTCGCCCTCCTGGGCCGTGGTCAGCGACGTGGCCGTGATGTCGTGGTCCAAGAACTGCCCGAACACCGCCAGCATAACGGTGAAATTCGAGTCCGTTTCGTAGCTGGAGCGGTGAATGCTGAGCGAGACCTGGCGAGCCGGCGGCAGTTGCTTGACTCCATGAGCCGCCCGCGGAGCGGCAATGCCATCGCCGTAGTCCGGCGCGACCATGCGGCGATAGGGCACCATGGAGGCGCCATAGGTGCGTGGATGCTCCTTGTTGTTACAGACGCCCGTGCTGCGCCTGTAGCGCTCATTGAAGTCGCAGTCGAGCCGCAGCACCTGCGGATCCGGCAGCACTATTAACGGTCCCACTCCAATGTTGCTCCGGCCCGGCTGCTTGGTGTAGTTGTAGCTCTGGGCAATGTCCAGCGTGGCCTGGTTCTCCACGTAGCCGCGGCGCGCCAGCTTACGCGCCTCGGGATTCGTGCTGAGGGAGCGATAGTGCCGGAACTGGGGCGTGTTGATGGCACTCGGCTGCAGCCCCTCCTCCAGGATCTCGCGATCGCCCAGCGCCTTGATGCCCGCACTCACCGAACGAGCGCCCGCTCCCTCGTCCACTGTCGCGTTACCCAGCGCCCACTCCGACTCGGGCTCATCCGGTATGGGCCTCTTGACAGCCGCCAGCATCTCGCCCACAGACTCATTCGTGGCGAAGAAGAAGCTGGGCTCTTCCCAGCCAGAGTTGTTGCTGCTGCCGTTGCCATCGTAACCGCTGCCACTGAGCCACAGAGCCAGGCCCAAGGCGGCAATTACAATGACGCTGCGGGCAGGAAAGTGAAATTGATTTGTGGTTAAAGCCTTTTCGAACTAAACGTTAACACGCCGGGTCAAACAGGGCTATCAAATGACAAACTGCAGCTAAATGGAATAGGAATTTCCAACTGGAGTGGCAACGATTTAATACCCTACAAGATTTGCTTCAACTAAAGTGGAGATATTGGCTCAGCAGTGCTATCAAATGGCGAATTTACGTTGCCTTTGGGATGTCCATTGATGTCCTAACTAACCAAATTCGAATAATATAAGTTTAGTTTCGGATCTCTTGGAATCTCTGTTGAAAGATATAAGGCTGCCCTACGGGTCAGTCGAATATGCACAGCCCTGAATTTTTCAATATTTATACATTTTCTGACTTTTCATATACAGCATATAATTCAAACTTGGATTGATTTTTCATATAACACATGCATTTTTTCTCTCTATTAATTTCCATTTTCTCACCTCCTCGTGTTTACTTATTTGTTGAATATTAATCCACAGAAAATAATAAAAAGCGTAGGCAGATATTATGTATACTATATATAAAATATAAAGCTACTCCAAGTACCCACCGGTTCAATCATTAGCTAATAATCATGATAATGATGCTAATATATCATGATATTACTAATATGATTTAGGCATGCTTTGGATAGCAGTACAAAAGCGTGTGAGTCCAAAGTCCACTGTTTGCGTGTTTACCCACCTTATATATATATAAGATAGTTAGTGGGTTTTACTATCTTCTTTCAACTACACCTTAAAGTCACGGGCTATTCAATCTCTATAAGTAAGTAGCCTTAATTGGCTATCGTGTATTCACAGATCATCTAAAAATCAATAAAATGCTCCGTCAGTCATATGATATACGAGTAGTAATACGATCCATGTATCAGAAAACATATCACATCTAAGCCGAACCCTTGAACTAGATTGCATATACTTGCAGAAATCGGCACTATTCGACATTGCAATACTAGTAAAAATGTGAAATGCACTTTGAGCAGATCCAATTTCAGTTTCTATACTTGGTACAGCCAGCAGTCAGAGCAAATCGTATATACTGCACATCGCATATATTCCGATTTCCTCGAACACTCACATAAACGTCAGCGTGACGCAGCACTGGAACTGTTTCAGTTTGGAAGGACGCGCGCGTGGGGAGACGCCGCCGGGAAAGACATAGCTGGGTCCCTGATAGGGCGGTAGTGCAACATAACCAGAGCCGGAGCCGGAGCCGGAGCCGCTGGCGGTCAGCGGCGTTGTTTCGTCCGTCATGATCAAAGCGAAACTAAAGAGCTGCCAGCAGGCGGACTAAGAGTAAGTGCCCCATCAGCATGTCGCTTGGCACTTGGCACTTGGCGGGCTTCCACTCCGTTCGCCACACTTGAGTTACTTTCGCCGGCAGCAGCAACTGCAGCAGCAACTGTCGCAGCGACGACCACTGACAAAGCAACTTAGTTTATAATGTTTTATAATGCGGGCCGAACAAAGCCAACAACTGTCCCAGAGCGCATCAAAAGTCGTTTCTTAGTCTAGGTCTTTAATAGGAATGGCAAATGCCTAAAATGAAATGATTACAGCTCCATATCTTCCGCCGGCTTAAACATGTCGCCCACGTACTCGTAGGTCAGCTTCAGCAAATACTGAAAGGGCTTTTGCTGCGGCAGGTCGCCCAGCTCGGCGCTGTCCAGGAAGTCCTCCATGGGGGGCAAGACGTTTTCGCCCTCCTGACCCATCAGCTGCGACAGCTCAATCACCTTGTAGAAGAGCAGCTTGTGTATATAGTCGACCGCATTGTTCGTATCGTAGTCCGTCCAGTTGTCGCGCCGTATGATCGCGCACCAGATCTTGTGTCGCAAGTCGTACGGCTGATCCACATAGCTGAGCAGCTCCAAGGCCTTGCGGAACTCGACTTCGGTGGCGCTCTCGTTCTCCTCGGCAATAAAGAGCTGCAAGCAAACGAAACTATGAACAAGCCGATCTCTCGCAGAGTCACAACTGAATAGTTACATTGATGATCTCCTCCACTTTGAGCACCTTCTGGTCGGTGGGGTCGAAGCCGAAGCTCTGCAAGACATCGTGACCCAAATGCGATTGATACTCAATAATCATCAATTCGAAATTTATTTTCTCAATTTGGGCCGCCAAATCGACGTCGGCCGCAGCGAAGGCAGCCAACTTGGACAGCGACAGCATCGACTTCTTGCGCGCCACATACTCCGTTTCGCATTGGGCCAGCTCGTAGAGCACCTTGGCAGCACGTTCGAAGTCGCCGTTGAATATGAGCTGAATCCAGCCGAGCGACGGATGATCGCGCATGAATTGCGCTAGCGCCGTCTGGTTGCCCTTGAAGCGCTCGAAGACCTCTGCGTGCCGCTGCTGCCGCAAATGCCAGTTGATGGCGAACTGCGAGAAATCGTATTCCTCATATTTGCGGGTGTATTCATCCAGCCGGTCCTTGTCCTGCGTCTCGTCGCAGATGAGCACCAGGCTGGGGAAGTCCAGATACTTCTCAGCCAGCCTGGCAGCACACTCGTACTGCCGCTCCTTGACTGCAATGAAACCATATCGATAGACTCAATCATCATCATCCTAATCATCTGCTGCTACTCACTCAGCGTGGCGATGAGATCACGTCGCTGCGTCTCGAATTGCTGCTGCAGCACCTGATGCTTTTCCGTCTCCCGCACGCTGTCCAGATAGTTCTTTCGCGCCTCCAGCACCATGTCCACCAGCTCCATTATCTGCTGATAAAGCGTGTGCTTCAGCTCCGTCTCGTTGACGCACTGAGTGGCGTAGCGCACAGTATTCTCTATTAGGCGAATGAGTGCATCGTGTACGCCGGCGGCACCTGGCGTGGCTGTCCACGGCTGATTCTCATGCGCCTTGCCGGGCAGCTTGTAGCTGCTGGCATTCTGCTCCCGAAACCTCAGCGCCTGACCCAGAGTGCCCAGCACAACGGCATTGATGTCGGCGATGGTTTGAGCTACTGAGGCCGTGGTGCGATTCTGAGATGCGATGCGATCGTCTGCCATGTCGGCCAAGGACTCATAAATACTCTGAAATTTGCAGAGCTTCACATAAAATATATCCTGCGACGTCAGGCTGCCCTGCGGCCGCTCCTCCCAGCGTGAGACTGTTATATCGATGGCCTCGTCCACCAGCTTCGGCATTTTACCCTGTATCGTCCGCAGCGCCATGGCAGCCACAATTTTCTCACTGATGTCGGAGAGGATGTACGAAGTGGGTTTCAAGATATTGCTGCCACAGGGTATTGCGTTGAGCTGCAAGTATATCAGAAATATCAGCTGGATATGCATGAGCGACTAGGAGTAACTGCCACGCACCTTATCCCAAATTGAGCACTGATGCAAGAAATCAATGAAGTGGTGCAGGGCAATGCTCTTATCCCGCAGCTGGTTAATGATTTGCATGGAGCGGGAGCTGCCCAGGGCGTGCCGATTGCCATCGTGCTCCTCGAGGACGGACTGCCATCGCGGATCGGCAATGGGCAGATCCTCAGCCAAGTCCTCAGCAATGGTGATGACGATTCTATAAAGCACATCATTAGTTTACATATCTATATGAGGTATTGTCGTATAGTCGTACCTATCCAATTTATAGGCATCTAGAGGTGCTCCTTGCTGATCGGATTCGTTGATGCTTTCCATTAGATCCGCAAGGATTGTATTGACCATGTTGTTGTTGCGTTTCAGCTTATATAAGAAGGCCGCCTTCAGCTGACCCACCTCATTGTTGAGCTCATTGTAAACGTCATCCGGATCCAAGTGAAACAGTGGTAAATTGTTGGTGCTGTCGCCTAGGGTACTCTGATCCTGGCCACTGAAGGATGCATTGAACGAAATAGGCGCAAACATGTCGGGCGTATTGCAGCTGCTCATGTTCAGCAAATCGGTGCTATCAAAGTCGCCCGGCGTGATGGAGACCAATCCGTGTGTGCGGCTGAAGAAGAGTGGCAAGTGATTGCAGATGGCGGCGCTTAGGATGCGATCATCGTGCAAATGGAACTCCACTTTCTCCGCCTCAATCTCAGCTGTAGGTGAGCCATTCGACAAGAGCAGCGGATAAACCACCTTGGGTGTATACAAATACATGTGCGAGGGTCCGACAATGATGCGCACGCTAAGACACTCCTGCGCCGTCTTGCTGTTAAAGAACTTGTTCAGCTTCAGCGGCGTAAAGCACTCCAGCTGCATTCCATCCTCCCGAGCCGAGGCAACAACTAAAAGCGAGGGTGGGCTATAGTGGGTGATGTTGGTTCTGGAAAGGTGATTCGGACTCACCTATAGCGTAGTACATCTGGGGCGTATGGGCCTGGTTGACAGCGCCAACGACTATATAGTATTTTCCTTTGTACACTTGGAAGTCCATGAAGTGCATTTCGATCTCAACATTATCATTGGGCAAGCGAACATTCCAAAACTTTAAGAGCAACATTTCGCGCATTTTCCGCAAGAGATTCACATCCTCATATAGCAGCTGTTCCGAGTTGCCCTTGTTCGAGAGACGCCATCGTTGAATGGCGCGATCCGACAGCACAGCCACAATGGATTCGCCATTCTCTGTATCGCGCTCACAGCACATCCCAACCAAAAGCTGTGGATGATGCGTTTCAATTAGCTGCTGGGATGGGAGGAGTGAAGCGAGTTAGCTCACCTGATCCCTGTCGCTTCCGCTGTTCATGCCAATGAGCATCGAGGCAAACCGTTTGCCAAAGCCGCCTAGGAAACTCGTCGCAGGTTTTATAGTCTTGTGATGCAGGGTATAACGTCCATTCGTGAGACCAACTCGTAGAAAGACCAAGGTGCAGGTGGAGGTGACAGCCAAATAGCCTTGCTGCGTGGGCAGGTTGAGCAGCTGAACGAATTCCTGGCCGGTGAGTATGGAGATGTCGACGGAGTTGTTATCGTGCGCAATGGAAGTCCAATAGCGCACGTCGCCAGTCGCTGAGATTGCAATGCACGAGGCCATCTGCTGGCCCTCGGTGTGAAACACGCTAACCAATTCGCTTTTGTGGCCAATATCGCTGTAGGGCAGGGTAAGCTCACGGCACTGAGCCGAGGTGCCAGTACGTCTCTGATGCTTGCCTAAACGCGGGGGCGAGCCAACTTTGCCTGTACTAGATGTATCCTTATACTGCCAAATCAGTAGTCGACGCCCTTGCACAACCTGAAAGGCAATAATGTGTCTTTACATACATGTACAATTGTACAGAAGAGGGGAACTTACCCACGCCCAGCCTCCTTGTGTGATTTTCGCTGATACTGTGCTCGCATTTGGTCCGGCAAAGGTGAGGGCCTCATTGACGGCCACGGGCAGGGCATGGCCATAGCTCTCCACGACATTGTAGTCCGATCGAATGCCCGGTATGGACTGTGTGGTAGACCGCGCGGAGAGGCTCAAGCGACTTTTGTAATGTGTTTTCATATTAGAACATTATGTTTATAGATGCATCACCTACTTTACCTATTGTTTAACGCCGTTTTCTTCAAGCTGCCTGGCAGTTGCGATAAGCCCTGATTGCCGCCAAAAAATGATTTTCGTGTATTATCAGCGCTCGCCGGCATACTTTGACGCCGAACACTTGGTGATGATTCCCGAGAGATGCCGTAAAGCTGCTTTTGCATGCTTCGTTCCATTATTGTGTTATTAAATAAAACAATTCCAAGTTATAAACAAGAAACACATGTACACTGAACAAATTTAGCCGGCACTGAGTATGTATCGGCATAGCCGCAAACGTCGATACTTGCCGATATATAGTGGTGGCAGCTGTCAAGAAGTGTCACAACTATTTGAGCTCCGCTTGCGAGTATTGTACTTCATTTTGTAAATCTTCGGGTTAAATATTGCTAAAATTAATTAAATTAACAAAAACTTGGTATTTTAGTACATAAAAAGGCCAATTAATGTAAATCTAACAGACCAACCATGCCAAGCTAATCTAATGTGTAATCGATAGTCGACACAATTGGCGGGACTCGACAAGGTATGTTATTAACATTAAACTGTTAAGTCTATCAAACTGCTATTACATTATTATGACAGAGCTGTTATCTACAGCTGATTATAGTCGATTGGCTGCAATGTTGTTTACATGCTGTACTTTAATCGATTGCTGAGAACAATGGCGCGAAAGCTATCAAATAGGTTGGAGAGCCCACTAGATTCAACCTGTTGATATACGAACGAACAATAATAGTTCAAATATTTTTTAAATATTAGCCAACGACTAAGAAGGTGTCCGCCCTTGACACGTGTTTTAAAAT